TATACTTCAGGGCTGTCCAATTAGCCCAATTTTATTTATTATGGCAGCTGAACTTATGGCAATCCTAATAAAAAAATCCCCAGAAATTGAAGGTATCAACATTTTAGAGAGAGATTTTTTAATCAGTCAATTTGCTGATGACACAGCTATTTTTCTTAAAAACAAAACCATGGTCCAACCTGCAATTGAGAAAATATGCCTTTTTTCTAAAGCATCTGGCTTAACACTGAACATAAAAAAATGTGAAATTCTGCCTATTCATACTTGTGATTTAAATAGTATTGAAAATATCCCAGTTAAACACTAAGTGAAATATCTTGGATTGATAATGTCTAAAAACCTTTCTGACACAGAAAATGCTAATATAACACCTAAACTAAATTCTGTACAGAAAGTTTTAAATCACTGACTCGTGACTTATCAATTTTAGGTCGTATACTACTTTCTAAGTCTGAGGGTATATCAAGACTCATATATCCATGTAACTCCATGTTTACATCCCCAAAGGTTATAAAAGCGTCTAACTCAATTTTATTTAAATTTATTTGGAAAAATAAAACCCACTATGTTCGCAAATCTCAACTAGTAAAAGAACATGACAATGGAGGATTAAAAGCTCTAGATTTTGAAGCTTTAATTGCTTCATTTAGAGTTAAATGGTTAAGAGAATGTCTGACTCAATCTCTATCTATTTGGTATCATATTCCCAATAAACTATTCAGTCGGGTCGGAGGGCTGACATTTCTATTAAAGTGTGACTTTGAAGTGTCCAAAATACCAATTAAATTATCAGCTTTTCATAGGCAAGCTCTACAATTTGGGAAATTGCTTTTTGCTCACAATTTCTCACCGCATAAAGCTGTGGTATAGGAACAATGGAGTGATAACTGTCAACAAGAAATCTTTATTCAAATCTGACTGGTGTGAGAGTGGGCTGTGCTTCATATATGACTTGTTGAATACAGATGGATCTTTTGTATCACTTGAAAGATTTAACGAAAAATATAAGTTGAAAGTTTCCACTAATAGTTACACTAATGTATGTAAAGCTATTCCCACCCCTCTTCTCAGACTGATCCCAAATTATTCAGAGTCTACCTCTGTCATTACGTGCTTGCCCTCTCTAACAATTAACCAAATTAATCTACAAGATAGGAAATGTAATAACAAATTCATTGCCCATGCTGTCAATCAGAAACATTTCTGCAACTTTAATACTAATATAAGATATGATTTAGAAAGCTCATTTAGGAAAAAACCATTCACCTTTTATTTGTCGTACCCACTAGCACCAAAAATGAAAGAAACACATTTTAAGATTATATCAGGCATTTATCCTGTGGGGATTTCACACACCGGCGGTTTAACTTTGATGCTGAACCATGCTCTTTTTGTTCCAATGATAACGAGACTATTGAACATCTATTTTTTTCTTTTATGTTTTCAAAGATTTTTTGGACTGACTGTCACAACTGGATAGTTCTAAATATCCCCAATGTGCCTCAATTCACTCTGGAAGATGTCATTTATTTCATGGACAACTTGGACCGTAAAATATCTGATGTTGTTAATTTGATTATTGTAATGGGGAAATACTTCATACACACATGTAAATGGGAAGACGCCAAACCCATTTTTTCTATTTTTCTCAAATTTTTTGTTGAATATTTTAAGTCCTTGCATCTTGTCTCTAAAAATAATAGAAAAGCTTTACTAATTTATGAAAAAATGCGAAAATCTCTACTTTTTTAAAATGCCTTTCCCGCTTGTGCAATTTCTGTTTGAAAACAAACTGTTCTGTATACACTTCTCAATTTTTCTGAAACAATTATTTAATTGTATGTACCCTGACTTGTAATGTAAATGCTTTATGACAATAAAAAAAAAAAGGAAAAAAAAAACGGAAGCGGAAGTAAATATTACAAATTACCTATTAATGCCTAAACTTAACCAGCCATTCCCATAAAATAACCCCAACCCAGCCTTAACCCTAAACTTAACCATCTTACTCAGACGCCTAAAACTTAACCAGTCTCCACTTAAGGACATATAAAACTTTTTGACATGCGCAAACTGAACTTTCGGACGAATCCGGTTTCCGGGACGAATACGGGAGTGACACGTGATCTGCAGTTTTGGAAACACTTTGATCTTTGTGCTTCATAAAGTCAGCAGCTGATTGGAGCAGAGGGAACATCTGCATGATCCCCGTGTAGAGCTCCTTCTACTAGTGATGGCAATATGAAGCCCCATGAAGCCTTGAGGGATCGCAGCCTATTACTCGGCCCATGAGTCGAAGACTCGAGGTGAATCATGCTCCACTACGCCATCATGTGGACAAAAAAATACATAACACTCTTAAGTGCTTACAATGAATGGTGAGATCTAATGTTAAAATGTATATTTACAATCTATGGTCTAACGTGTTGTGTTTGAAATGATGCTTCATGAACTATGAACTATTTGAGTCTTTCAGTCAATTGTGTTGATACAACAAACACATCCAAAGTAATACAGTTCTACAGAAAGTGATTAATGGAGGAAAAACTACCAAGAGGTGGATTAATTAAACACAACAAACCATTTATTCCCAATAAATAAACACATTTACTTTGCAACACAAAATTTATTATGGGTAGACCGGGATTCGAACGCTATATCTTCTGCTTCGGAGTCCGTCATATACCGACTGCGCCACACAGCTGTTATGAAATATATTATCCAGTGTATTATTACTAATAACTTGAAGCCTTGATATATGAGGATTTACTAAAGTGAAACCTTTTTAATTGTATTTCATATGAAGTAGTTTCTCTATACTTAGTACAGGACTGCTCCACATCACGCACACACACGTACGCACACAGAGGCAGACGGGGACAGCCAATACAGTCTATGGTACAGCCGCGGATCACAAAGCACCTGTCAAAGCAATGCACTCTCCGAACGGTATGAAGCACTATATGAACCGTCACGTGGTGCGGCCGCTACGCGAGGCTTCGAACGTCACCACATACGTCACCAACACACGCCTCGAACCACGCCTCGAACCACGCTTCAAAAAATACGCCCCTTTTTTACTCGGTACACGCTTCGAAGACCCGGCACGCTCAGCACATCACTAATAATTTGTCAGGGCTGGATTACCTAGTGATGGGTTGATGAAGCTTCATGAAGTGTTGAACCTTTTCATCCATTGGTTCGAGAAAAGGTTCATTTCTTGATGCTTCATATGCTCACAAACCTCCTGTTGGTCAAAATCTGTATTGACAATTGAACTGTTTGTGAGGCTCTTGGTGCATAGGAATTAATACTGGTAACAGAAATAAAAATGTAATTTGATTGTGTATGACCCATTAATTCATCTGTTTCATTATGATCAATATCAGTAGTGAAAAGGAATATATTTTAAATGACAATAAAATATAATGTACTGGTACAGTTGTCTGCTCTAATACACACACACACACACACACACACACACACACACACACATACATATATGTAGATATATATTTATATACATATTTAATGATGAATGATTATAGCTTTTCAAGTCAAAATCAATGTTATAAATCCAATGGGACAAAAGACATGTTGAAAGTGTAAGTGCTTTTCAAAGGACGTGACACAAATGGGGATATCATTTGGGATTGTGACCCCATCAGTTGTTTAAAACCAAAACATTTCTGACAAAATTCTTTCACGTGTATTTACATCGATGCACTACCGGTGAGATTCGAACCCCGGTCTCCCAAGTCCCAGCCCTGCTTCCCTATCAATTGAGCCAACCAGCTGATATCACAACCCTCTCCATCACTGACTACATTAATCACCAAGACAAACACACAGTTTGAGCGGATCTTCTGCAGTACTTCATGAATCGCTCCATTTCCTGTGCTCCCGAGGCTTCAAACGTCATTAGTGACGTCACTCATCTAAAACAACTCAGGCTTCGGCCCGCGCTCCGATAAAAACTTCAGGGATTTCTCGGCTCACGCCCCGAAGCGCCGACGCGGCACGACCCATCACTAGTGTTTCACACCGCACGCCGAGCGCAGAGCCGAGCGCCCTTTCCAGCCGAACTACCTCGCGGCGAGCGCATGTATTCAGACTGACGCCGAGCGTGGGCGAAGCGCCTAGACGAGTAGCACGCACAAAAGGAGTAGTATTGTACTCCAAACTAATAAACATGTTGTATATTTACATATGTTGTCTGAAATAACAGGTCAGAAATCAAAATAGCACATGTAGACCTTAAATAAATTGCTAACATTTCCTTATAATGTATCTTATAGCCTATTTTGATTGTCGTTTCATTATCATAGTGTGGTGTTGTTTTTTGTGTATTGGACCTGCCCATGTCTTGAATGTAAAACCCTCGTCACTCCCCCTTCCCCCAAAACAGAACAGGTTTAACCTTTGGCCAGAAGCCTAGTCCTTTAAATAGCGTGTACCCTCCTATCACATGAATACAATCACTTGTTTCACTGTTTTGGAGTTCGACTTTATGCATGCGATGTTGTGAACACAATACATACCGTCTAAACCTAGCATGGCTCCAATAACCTGCCAGGTTCTTTCTTTCTTTCGAATATCTTTGTAGTTTGGGTGTCCTTTACTATACAATTCGGGGAAGCCCTCCACGGCCTCGATGATGCGTATGTCATCCATCTTCACATGTGCTTTTGTTTTCGTGAAAGGAAAGAAGTCTCCGCAGTGTCACATCATGTCACGTGACACGCATACTTCTATCTCCTGGTTAATACTAAAGAAATACTAGAATAATTATAAGATTGGAATAGAACTGTTATGTCGCCTTGAAATTACAATTATATTTTATGCATAAAAAAAAAGTATGACATGGAAAATTGTGTAATTAAAAGAATAAACTTATATGTACTTATGCATTACAATAATGAGATTAGATAAACGTGAAATTGCTTTATAAAAGTTATTTTTTGAATATTTTCGTGCTGAAAGCCGCTTCGCTGCGCAGCCTACACGCGGAAAAAATGCGCTCGAGTTCCATTTTTGGTTTCAGGAGCGGAGGCGGCAGCGGCGCGCGCCGATTCCCTGCGCGCCGCCTCGGCGCCGGTCTGTACACAGAAGAGCTTTCTCATTTGCACAACAGGACGCGACTTAAAGCGCAGCTTGCGAATGCACGTGAGCGGGTTTCGAAGACAAATTCGTTCACGAATTCGTGTGCGGTGTGAAACAGACCTATGATTACCTGGTGGCAGATTTCCCCTGGTGTAAACGGCATTGAGGAGTAGCCTGCTACTGTTTTTTTGTAGGGTTTTGGTTTTGCCTTTAGTTTACAGTTTTGTGTTTTTTTTATCCAGCACTGCACTTTTAAATAAAGGTTTTTAGGCTTTAATGCTGTAGACTCTGGAGCTTAGGTGTATAGTTTAGTTATATTTAGTTCTCCCGGGGCGCGCCTGAGGGGGACCTAGCCCAGTTTCTTTCAGTTATTTGCACTATTGGGTCTTCAGTTGTTTTGTTGTGAGTGAGGGTAGCACTTTCAGTTTTGTTACGGGTGGGGCTACTCCCCGCGCTGGTCGCCCTCGTTGGATTCATTTAGTTATTAGTTTTATTCTAATAAACACATAATTTCTGTAAAATTATGTGTGCAGGTTTTGAAATAAATATTTAATTCATTCATTCATTCAGTTTATTTTAGTATATTGAATTTTTTATGATGCCCAGGGGCTGCAGCTTTTAAACCTTTTGGTGGGCTTTTATATTTTGACTTCTGGACTTTTTAATAATTACATTGCAATGGATTAAAAGCTCAGTTGGTAGAGCATTGGCCTTAAGGCCAGAAGGTCGTGGGTTCAATTCCTACCTCTGCACCTTCTCCATCGACTCCCACTGATGACTGCTGTCGTTGTGTCCTTGGGCAAGACACTTAACCCCACTTTGCCCAAAGCCCCCACTGAAAGATCAAGGCTATGCTCACACTCAGAGAGCAGCCGTCCTCCTGTGGACTCACCACCTGCAGAGGGTCAGTGAGGGGCTGGTGCTATGAGACTTGGGTGGCATCTCTGACTGCCACCCCCCTGACCCAGAAATGGATTAAAGGGTAGAAAATGGATGGATGGATGGATTAAAATCTTTTTTTAAAAACTCTTAATTGCTCCAGCCTTTTAATAAAATTCTAATCGCACATTTTAAGTCTTGTCTCTGTCGTTGTTTTTACATACTTACCTGTGTCCTTGGTTTTAGTTCCTGGTTTATTTACTGTTACTGTGAACTTTTAAAAAGGTCCCAAGGTGACAAACGTGGCGTTGCTGGCAGGATTTGTAAAACAGAGACTTGTGCTTTTAATGTGTGATTTTTATTTATTTGTGCAGTAGCTTTAGACTGTAGACTCAGGCACGTTTTTTTTAGAAAACAGTAGCAGGCCGTCGGTGGACCGAGGCCTGGCTGTACCTGCTCGTTTGCTCTGCTTTCTGTGTACACTGTCATCTGTAACAGGAATGGATGCTGAAGAAGCGCAGCAGCTAATGGACTTGGTCAAGAAGCTACAAGCTGACAATGAACTTTTGAGACGGGAGCGTACAAACATGGACAATGGTGGCGAAGCTTCCTCTTCCCGGGCTCACCTGCGGCAAGGGCCAAGCACTCAAACCGCTGGTGAACGTATATTGTATATACCCCGTGAACGTAAATGTCCTGTTTTTAGGGGTAATGTTGGTATTGGGGTTAATGACTGGGTAGAGGAGGTGAGGGCTAGCATGAGGGCCAGGCATCTTAATCTGCTCGATCAATCTTATTTTATTTACGACCATCTAGAGGGAGAAGCTAAGGAGGAAATCCGCTATAGGCCCCAGGAGGAGCGGGAGGACCCAGAGGCCATTTTAATGATCTTACAAGAACTCTATGGCTGCTCTAAATCATACATTGCACTACAGGAGAATTTCTTTTCACGTAAACAGTTACAAGGTGAAACTCTACAAGAGTATTCACATGCTTTATTTTGTTTAATGGAAAAGGTTACTAGGAGCGCCCCTGGTGGCTTGAGAAATGCCCCTACCCTCCTGAGAGATCAATTTGTAGAGCATGTTCTAGACCCATCATTACGCAGGGAATTAAAGCGGCTCGTTAGGCTTAATCCTAACTATACTCTGTTGGATGTTAGGCGTGATGCCATTCAGTGGGAGCAGGAGGGCCAGCCTTCAGACACTAGAGGGCGTAGTCAGTCTGTGCCTTCATTTTGTGCAGTGCAGTCATCTCAGCCAGGGCAAGGGCTTGAGTGGGACAGCCTGTCTGAAATAAGGCAATTACTGATGAAACAACAAGAGCAGATTAATTTGTTGACCCAAAATATGCTTCAGCTACAAAGTGCTAAATCTCCTGGTTTTAACAGAGGCGGTCCCCTTATTTGCAGGCAGTGTCAGCGGCCCGGTCACATCGCTCGTTACTGCCGCCAGCCACAGAGCAGCCAGAGGTCAGGGCAAATTCCTCCCACGGGACAGGCAGTTTCAGCCAGTCAGGAGGCGGAAAACTAGCTCCTTCTGTTTTGCAGAGCCACTTAGCAGAAGGGAGCAACACTGGCTCCTCCGTTCCAAAGCTCATAGGATCATGTCCCACCGTAACAGTGAGTCTGGGCGGGGTAGAATTGCAATGTCTGCTCGACACTGGCTCGATGGTAACTACAATTACCGAAAGCTTTTTTAGTCAACACTTTAGGGAAAAGTTGGCCTCCTGTCGCTGGCTTGAACTACGAGCCGCCAATGGGATTGACATACCTTATGCAGGCTATTTTGAAGCAGACGTTAATGTGCTGGGTAAAGTTGTAACTGGCCGCGGCATCCCCCTAGTAATTTACCCCGACCCAAGATCCCAGGGATATTGGGCATGAACGTGATCCAAGAGTGTTTTAAAGAGCTTTTTAATCAGCATGGTGTAACCGGTCCCTGGGTTAACTAGACTTTTTTTCAACAAGAGAGAACATCAATTGGCTAGCCAGGAGTGAGTGAAAAGAAGCATAACGTATATTGGTGTTTTTTTATTATTGATTGACAATGGATATATTCGAGAAAAGTGGCATTATTATTCCTAATGCAGTTTTAGTGAAGTTTGCAACCCATACTAATAGTGATAATGTAGTTCTGGATTTTCTGAAGCGTTATGGTCCTGTAACTAGAGCAGAAATTGTAGATGAAGTTGGTTCGGCTTTCCATAACTCTATCATGGTAGAGTTTGTTTCAAAGTCTTGTTTAATGCACTTGCGTCCGCTTCTGCCATACACGTTTTCCTGCGGCACTGACTGCGATTTTGAAATAGTAGATTTGTCCACCGCGTGTTCAGAGGAGGTGGGGAAGGTTCAAACTGAAAATTATCTGTCCGAATTGAAAAAAGTTGCAAAATCGACTGGTAAAGACTTTGCGGTTGTTTTACAAGGGGTTATGTCTCTACTCGGTCAAACAGTAACCGGGTTACAATGGGCCTTCACTTTTTGAACTTCCCTTGCTTTCAGACGTTCCCTCACCATGGTTAAATGCATTTCAACACTGTCAGAGGGCGCAGGTAGAAGTCACCCCCCCAAAGGCAGGCATGGTGAGGATACGTGGGCGGAGACCAGTATGTATTCCTCCAGGCACAGTAAAAATGGTGCCAACCACATGTCCCCAAGGCAGGTTTGGCCCCGGTGAGTCAGGCCTTTTTGAGCCTTTTACAAGTATGTGCTCTCTCCCAGCAGGTGTAGTCATATCCACTGCTATGGTGACTGTGCATAGGGGAACCGCATACATCCCAGTGTTAAATGTGAGCACCACAGAGGCTATACTTCACGCCCGTACTGCGATAGGCATGTTGTGTCCAGCTGATATAGTGAGTCTACCGGAGGGAGTTACTGAGGTAGCGGGGTCCCCTGGTGAGAGAGCGAGGGCGACAGTTTTCTCCCAGGTCAGTTCAGAGCCAACTCGGCAGACTGACCCGGTGGAGGCCCTGGATCTATCCAACCTGTCCCATGAAGAACAGGCTAAGGTCAAAAGTTTACTAGGGAATTACAGGTCTGTTTTTGCCCGAGATGAGAGTGACTAAGGCCCCGACTCCACTGGGCGCGTAAAACGGACGACGGATCCGTCCAAACATGTCCGTTTCATCTCCGTCTCCGTTATCTCCATGAGAGTGAATGGAAGTGGCTCCACTGCCTCCGCATGCGTCCGTCCAACGCACGTCGGACCTATTCCGTCAACGGAGGGTGCAAAAGACGTGGACGGACGAAATAGAAACAATCCTATTTGTTCCGTCCGTCGACGCGTGTCGGGTCCGTTTTCCATTGAAAATGCAATGGAATAATATATTTACAACATTGTTAAACATGTATTGATATATGCTGTAGTCCTTGGTTATAAGTATTTGTTAATGACAATGATTATTAACAAACGTGTGTAATGTTTTTCATGTATTAATTTAAATAATTGTTTCCTGAACGTACATCTACCATTTATTTTTCGCGTAATGTTAATACGCTAATCTTTACATACATCTCGCTCTTTTTTCTCTCGCTCTGTCCCGTCTACCTCCGAGGCGCTCTCTCCTCACCGCCGCGCGCTCACACACACACACACACACACACACACACACACACAGCTGCACTTATGAGAGACAGATCTCACAACACTGGATATGTTGGAGTTCTTTTCTCTCTCCCCTTTTTCCAATTGCTTTCAATAAGTTTTGCTTCATCCATCGCGACGTCCTCAATGCTTCAATATGCTGTGCTTTGCACTGATCATAGCCACAGCTCATTCAAATCACACACCGCTTCTTCTATTTAAAACTATAGCTCTGCCTGTTGCCTAAAGTCGCGGAGAGGCGAGTTGGCTCCGACAAAAGTGTATGACGCGCTAAATAAGTAGAAAACAAACGAAGAGGCTGGATCATAATAAACGCTGCAGTCACAACCCAAACACACATGCACGCACACGCCTCCCACCACACACACAGACACACACGGGCGCTCTCACGCACACGCCCACGCTCACGCACACATGCACGCCGACATAACTCCTCCATCAGCCATTCATTCATTCATTCACACAATGCCCAAACGTGTCTCCTACAAAAACAAAGCAGGCTGATAAACGCACAGCCAGAGTTGCGCGCTGCTGCAGCCGGTTTGACCACTAGTCCGTTTTACGGACGTCTGACGGACAGCAGCCAACGCGCGTCAACGGAGACGCGCCCGGTGGAGTCCAGGGGTTAGGCTGCACTAAGCTCATTAGTCACGAGATCCCCTTAACTGACGACACTCCCGTAAGGCAGAAGTTTAGGAGAATACCCCCCTCTGAGTACGAAGCAGTCAAGGCTCACATAAGACAGCTACTTGATGGTCAGGTGATCCAGGAGAGTAGCAGCCCCTATGCGTCCCCTACAGTCATAGTCAAAAAGAAGGATGGATCCATAAGACTCTGTATTGACTATCGTCTATTAAACAGCAAGAAGCGCAAGGATGCCTTCCCCTTACCCAGGATTGAAGAGTCCCTTGATGCACTCTGCGGAGCAAAATGGTTCTCGACAATAGACCTCGCCAGTGGCTATAACCAAGTCCCAATGGCTGAAAAGGACAAATATAAGACAGCTTTTTGCACCCCGTTTGGCCTATTTGAGTTTAACCGGATGCCATTCGGTTTATGCAATGCACCTAGCACTTTCCAGAGGCTAATGGAGCGAATGTTTGGCTCAGAGCACTGTCAATCACTACTACTGTACCTCGACGATGTGGTTATCTACTCCTCCTCCATAGATGACCACCTCCCTCGCCTCGAAGCTGTCCTGAGTTGACTCCAAAAAGAGGGTCTCAAGGTGAAGCTGTCGAAGTGCGAGTTCTTCAAGAGAGAAGTAAAATACCTTGGTCATGTGATTTCTGGAGAGGGAGTGTCCACAGACCCAGACAAGATAGCCGCTGTGGCTGGTTGGCCCAGGCCTAACACTGTCCGAGAACTGAGGTCTTTTCTGGGCTTCGCCAGCTATTACCGGCGCTTTGTCTGTGGATTCGCAAAGATGGCGGGCCCTCTCCATCGCCTGGTTGCAGAAGAGCAGAGAAGGGCCGGGCGACAAAAACACAAACCCCTGACCACTGATTGGACACGTGAGTGCGAGCAGAGCTTCAATGACCTCCGAGCAGCACTGGTGAGTGCCCCTGTGCTTACTTACGCAAATTTCTCTCTGCCCTTTATACTCGACATTGATGCCAGCTTTAGTAGCCTGGGAGCAGTTCTTTCACAAGAACAAGATGGAAAAGTGCGGCCAATAGCCTTCGCAAGTCGTGCCCTTAGCCCAAATGAAAGGAACATGTCAAATTATAGCTCAATGAAGCTGGAGTTCCTAGCGCTAAAGTGGGCACTGACAGAGAAATTCCGTGACTATTTGCTTGGCCAAAAATGCACTGTATGGACAGACAATAATCCATTGAGCCACTTGGAAACTGCAAAACTGGGGGCAACAGAACAGAGGTGGGCCGCTCAATTGTCATCTTTTGATTTTACCCTGCGTTACAGATCTGGGAGGGCTAACACCAATGCAGACGCCCTCTCCCGATGCCCCCCTTCAGAGACACTGAAGCAGGTTCTACCTGGCACCACCCTCCCAAAATCGCTGCGGGCCCCCACACCACCTGGCGCGGCCCTACAGGTAACGCAAGCTGCCATCTCTGCCTTTCCCTCCCATTCAGCAACAGAGCCTTGCGGCCCTCCAACAAGCCGACCCCGTAATTGGGACATTTCTGACCTTCTGGGGCAGCCGGAAGCGCCCCGACAGAGAAGACAGGGCTGGCCTCTCTCCCCAGGTGCTGGAGTTGTGTTGGCAGTGGGACCGGGTCGAGGAAAGGAATGGGGTGTTGTACCGTCGCACACAGCGGTCAGACGGGGGAGAGGACCGGTACCAGCTGCTGCTCCCGGCCTGCCTTCAACAGGACGTGCTTCAACAGTTGCACCATGGGCATGGCCATCAGGGTCTGGAGAGGACAACTGATCTGGTCCGGCAGCGATGTTATTGGCCCCTCATGCACCAGGACATAAAGGACTGGTGCCAGCAGTGTGAGCGCTGCACCCTAGCTAAAGCCTCACTACCCCAGACCAGAGTAGCGATGGGCCACCTGTTAGCATCAAAGCCAAATGAAGTGCTGGCCATGGACTTTACCCTGCTTGAACCTTCACGAGATGGGAAGGAAAATGTTCTTATCATGACCGATGTGTTTTCTAAGTTCACGCAGGCTGTGGCGACACATGACCAACGGGCCTCAACAGTGGCAGACATCCTTGTACAGGAGTGGTTCTATAAGTTCGGGGTCCCAGCGCGGCTACATTCTGACCAAGGCAGGAACTTCGAAAGCGCCCTCATCAGTCAACTCTGCAGCATGTATGGCACGCAAAAGACCAGGACGACGCCGTATCATCCGCAGGGAAACGGTCAGTGTGAACGTTTCAATAGAACCCTCCATGACCTTCTTAGAACGCTCCCAATAGAAAAGAAACAGAATTGGTCCAGATGCCTGCCGCAAGTAACCTTTGCCTATAATACCACGGTCCACCAATCCACCGGTGAGTGCTCGCATTTCCTGATGTTTGGACAAGAGCCCCACCTGCCAGTTGACTTCCTCCTTGGTCGGATCCCCGATTCTGCCAGTGGCAGAGTTGAGGACTGGGTCCAAGAGCACCAAAGGAGACTGAAAGTGGCTTTCGCTGGTGCCCAGCAGCGACTCAGAGCAGCGGCTGTCCGACGGAAAGCGCGCCATGACGTGGGTGTAAATGCCACTGATCTACGTGAAAAACAGTTTGTTTATGTCCAGGACCACAGAAGGAGAGGTCGCTCGAAGATACAGGACGTGTGGAGTCCAGAGATCCACGTTGTGGTGAAAGCCCCGAGCGTAGGTGGTCCGGTATACTCTGTTGCGCCTATCCATGATCCACAGAGGGTAAGGACTGTACACCGAAGCATGCTCAAGCCTGTGCCAGATAACCTCTGCCCTCAGGAACAGCCCAGTCCATTACCTGGGAACAGGATCGAGACCGAAGAAGAGGACGAGGAGCCATTTGTTTTTGTGGTCCGTGGACCTGTCCCAGGAGTAGCGGCTACAACCTCTCCACCACAGGCAGGTATAACCGCCCCTACAGTTAATGACTCTCCTCCCTCTGCTATGCACTCAGTGGCCCTCGCAGGCCAAGAGCCGGAGTCGGGAGGTCACAGGAGAACAACCCGGGTCACAGCTGGTCGACATCCAAATCCCCATCGTCTCCCTGCTACGTTGGGAGGGGCTGCTACCTCCTGGATCGGGGGTGTGAGTGGTGCAGTTAGGGCATATTTTAGGCCATGGGATTAGGGGCATTGCCGGGTCGCCAATGACAAACTGGGGGCAGATTGTGGCGGACACTAGGGGTCGCCACCGCCACAGTGGTACTTGCCTGGCATCCGAGGGGGGGGGGGGGGGGTGGCTGAGCATAAAAATGGCGACCACGTTATGCTCAGTCTCGGCTCCCTGCTCGCTGGTGTCAGGTAAGGGCTTAACTCTCCCCCACCCTTATTTTAACGTCTGGTTTCTAATGTAATTTAATAATTTGTCAGGGCTGGATTACCTGGTGGCAGATTTCCCCCGGTGTAAACAGCATTGAGGAGTAGCCTGCTACTGTTTTGTAGGGTTTTGGTTTTGCCTTTAGTTTACTGTTTTGTGTTTTTTTTTTTAATCCAGCACTGCACTTTTAAATTAAGGTTTTTAGGTTTTAATGCTGTAGACTCTGGAGCTTAGGTGTATAGTTTAGTTATATTTAGTTCTCCCGGGGCGCGCCTGAGGGGGACCTAGCCTAGTTTCTTTCAGTTATTTGCACTATTGGGTCTTCAGTTGTTTTGTTGTGAGTGAAGGTAGCACTTTCAGTTTTGTTACGGGTGGGGCTACTCCCCGCGCAGGTCGCCCTCGTTGGATTCATTTAGTTATTAGTTTATTTTAGTATATTGAATTTTTATGATGCCCAGGGGCTGCAGCTTTTAAACCTTTTGGTGGGCTTTTATATTTTGACTTCTGGACTTTTAAATAATTACATTGCAATGAATTAAAATCTTTTTTTAAAACTCTTAATTGCTCCAGCTTTTTAATAAAATTCTAATCGCACATTTTAAGTCTTGTCTCTGTCGTTGTTTTTACATACTTACCTGTGTCCTTGGTTTTAGTTCCTGGTTTATTTACTGTTACTGTGAACTTTTAAAAAGGTACCTCAGGTGACGAGTGCTTAAAAAATATCCAACACAAGAAAATGGAATAGTGTTTAAAAGATTAAGGGCTTCAGCCAGGAGAATAATTAAGTCAGCTAAAAGAGAGAGCTGGAGGAAGTATTGTGATACACTGGGAGTAGAGACCTCGCTGAAAGATATTTGGAGGGCTGTGAAACGTATGTCAGGAGTCAGTCGGAAAATGGACATTCCAGTTTTAGAAGACAAAGGGTTATCCGTATCAACAAATTTGGGAAAGGACAGGGTGCTCCAAGATAAGTTCAGAGTAGTTCACAGTGGTGAAAATTTTCAATTAGAGGACAGGAGGAAGAGAGATGTCACTTTGGATGTAAACAGGCATAAGCTCGAAGTTAGTGATGACAACTCTGATGTGTGTAATGTGTACTTCTCCTTGGAGGAGCTGGAAAGCGCTATTGGTAAAGGGAAAAGGTCTGCTCCTGGGAAAGATGGGATTAGTTATGAGTTACTCAAAAGACTGAGTGAGAATGTGTTATATGAATTGTTGGCTCTTATTAATAATGTTTGGGAGCAGGGGAAGCTTCCGTCAGCGTGGAAGCAGGCAGTATTCGTGCCTATTCTTAAACCTGGAAAGAATGCGTCTGAGGCAGGCTCGTATCGGCCAATTGCTCTAACCTCTGTTTTGTGTAAGGTGATGGAAAGAATGGTTACTAACAGGCTTGTCTATAGACTCGAAAGGGAAGGAAAACTATCACCTGTGCAAAGTGGGTTTCGAAAAGGTCGGGGTACTATGGATTCTGTCCTCAGCCTGGATTGTGACATAAGGAAGGCTTTGGTCAATAAGCAAAGTTTGGTGGCTGTCTTCATAGACATTGAAAAAGCCTATGATATGTTATGGCGGGATGGCCTGGGGATTAAGCTCTATGACAGTGGTATTCATGGACGTATGCTCAACTGGATTCAAGACTTCCTTTGCAACAGAGTGATCCAAGTCAGGGTGGGAAAGGACCTTTCAGAGGGAACAGATTGATAATGGTGCACCACAAGGAAGTGTGATCAGTTCAATTTTATTCAATGTCATGGTCAATGATATTTTTAACTCCCTAGGTCCTTCATTTGGCACATCTCTCTTTGCGGAGGATGGAGCTATTTGGAAAAGAGGAAGAAACGTAGACAATGTGGTAGGGCAGATGCAGGCAGCTGTTAATAAAGTGGTGCAATGGGGGCAGGACTGGGGGTTTAGAATTTCTGTTGAGAGAAGTAAATGTGTGATTTTTGGAGATAAAAAGGTTGGCAGTCAGGAGCTGAGGATGTATGGGCAGCAAATTGAAAGGGTGAGGGACATTAACTTTCTTGGAGTGATCCTTGATGAAAAGTGCCTGTGGAAAAAGCATATTGAAAATGTTATAGTTAAATGTGAAAAGGTGATAAATGTGATGAGGGCTCTGTCGGGAAGTTGTTGGGGGGGTCTGAGAGAAACCCAAATGCAGTTTTATCGGGCAATGGTAAGGTCAAGATTAGATTATGGGTGTTCAGCATACGGTAGCGCAGCAATGTCTCATTTAAACAGACTGGATGTTGTTCAGGCTAAAGCACTGAGGGTTTGCTGCGGAGCCTGCAGGTCCTTTCCAATTCCTGCACTACTGGTAGAGGTAGGGGAATCACCTTTAAGCATTAGACGAGACAAGCTAGCTATGCAGTACCTGGTTAAAGAGCGTGTATTGGGGACTTCCCAGCGAAACGGTTGCTAGATCCATCATGGGAGTTGGGAGCAAGAAGGAACCATGAACCCTTTGTGATTACTGTATGTAAAGAAATGGAGAAGTTGAGCTTTAGAGAGGTGGAGGTTTAACCTGGCAAGAGCCAGATTGATGATTGTGTAGAACTCTAACGCGTTCTCCGCGATATCAATCTGGGATTTCTCCCGGAGAATCCTTTCGGGGAAAGGAGGGATAAGCAGCAGAATACTTCAAGCTGATTGGGCGAAGTGACGCTGTGTGCCCGCCTACACTCTTGCCAAAACCCGTAGGTAAAAGGAGTCTGGAAGGACGGGGTGTGCCTTTTTTGTGCCTCAGTTAGAGGTTACTTTCAGTATGAGATGTCTGTGCACACTGCAGAAATCACAGCAATAACATGTGCCCTTCAGTGGGCAAAGGCATCTAAACAAGACCAAATTGTTGTATGTTCTGACTCAGCTGCGGTGTTAAACTCAATAGGTTTTGACAAAGGCAATGCCAGGCCAGATTTAGTGACTGAGGTACTAACTGAAATATCTGAGATTGAGCAATCTAAGGGTCGGTGGGGTTTCTTTGGGAGCCGGCTCATGTTGGTATCTGGGGCAATGAAGTGGCAGATATGGCGGCAAAACATGAGTGAGTGGAAAACTAAGATAAAAATGCATGTTACAGCTGCTTGGCAAGCAATGTGGGATGGAGACAGCAGGGGGCGTCATTTATACTCTATTCATTCCTCTCTCAAATGTAAACCAGTAATAATTGTTACGGATAGGAGGTCTGAGGTCATCCTTACTAGACTGAGACTTGGGCATTGTGGGCTAGCGTGGGACAGATACAGTACCTTGCGAAAGTATTCGCCCCCCTTGAACCTTTCAACATTTCGCCACATTTCAGGCTTCAAACGTAAAGATATAAAAATATTTTTTTTGTCATGAATCAACAACATGATTGATGACTTGCAGCTGTAATTGCAACAAAAGGTGGCGCTACAAAGTATTAGCTCAAGGGGGCCGAATAATATTGCACGCCCCACTTTTCAGTTTTTTATTTGTTAAAAAAGTTTAAATTATCCAATAAATTTTGTTCCACTTCACGATTGTGTCCCACTTGTTGTTGATTCATGACAAAAAATTAAAATTTTATATCTTTATGTTTGAAGCCTGAAATGTGGCGAAATGTTGAAAGGTTCAAGGGGGCCGAATACTTTCGCAAGGCACTGTATATAGAGGGTAAACATCAAAGTGAGTCATGTGCACACTGTAACTCCAAAAGACTGTTCCAGAACTACAGTTTCCTTGAAACGGGACCTACTCAAAGCTGATCTGGAAACATGTTATTCCAACATAAAAGATGCTAACAGTAGCCTATGTGAGTACAATGAAGCTAACTCTGTACGTCACTGTGAACTAAATAATCAGGGTCTGATTCTGGATCGAGGACATAGGGAGTCGGGCTCACAGGCAGAGGAGCACAGATCCAAGCGTTTCACATGAGGTGAACATCATCTCTATGCATGAAATTGCAATAATTAGAGTTTTGAGTGTTGTGTATCACCCAAGTTATTATCTCACATGTGCAAAGGATGGACTGTGAAAAATGAAGAAAAGTGAAATATGGCCCCTTTTAAATGTGCTGACGCGTCACTGCACCTGCTAAACAGATGGCACCGAGAGGAGCAGGTGACCGGTCCAAGATGGCGGCCCCACGGCTCGTCAGCGCCGATAGACGGTAGCGGTACATGCGGCGTCTACTCTTTTTATGTCTATGTATGAGACAGTCAAAGCCTCGTTGTTACGGGGCTTCATCTGCCCTTCACGAGCGAACAGGAGACTTTTGAATGTTGCAAACTATTACAGCTAGATGAAAGGCTCTGGAGGTAAAAGACGGAAAGAGACGGCATTTTGACGCATATTATTAGTAAAGAAGTATAATTTTCTTCAAACGTGATGAGAGCCACAGAGCCGTGTCCTGATTGGCCGAGAGCCGCCGCATGCTGCTCGAGAGCCTTGTGTTAGGCACTCCTGTTTATTTTGACTCTCGCAACATATTGCCGTTGGCAGCACTTTTCCTTCTCAGCAAGAATGTCCTGGGTTCGAATCCCGGTCGGAAAAGGACCTTTCTGAGTGGAGTTTGCTTGTTCTCACCGTGTCTGCCTAGTTTTTCTCCAGGTGCTCCGGTTTCCCCTACCACTAAAAACATGTACAATAGATCTGGCATACGCCTCCTGTACTGGCCCCGCTCCCATCTCTGTGTGGAGTGAGAGACAGATGCCCAAAAATAACAATTGTAAAGCTCTTTGTGACTCTGGTCTGTGAAAGGCGCTATATAAATAAATATTACTTACTTGCATTGTATTGGATTAAATG